ATATGGCTGCCAGTTGAGTTATGGGGGGTAAGTTCAGTTCCTGGTTTGAAGGGTATCTAAGGGCCATAGCTCGAGGGTTGCACCAGTCTCCATCAGACCAGTAAGCCTGGACTTTTTATGATTGTGAGTTTTGTCACACGTTTCCTCCAACTCTTTTCAGGACCTCTTATTGTGACCCCTTTCAGAAAGGTCAGCAGTGGTAGCCAGGCACCATCTAGTTCTGGTCTCAGGGTCGTGGAGGCTGGTGTTCACATGCAAGGACACCTTTTTTTGAATGTTTTATTGTTGTTTCTCTGTATGCATGTAATTAAAAAAAAATTAGCAAGCTCTAGTTTTGTTTAAAGGGAGGATTCTTGTCTGTATCCATCTTCTTTACCTTCATTGAAAACTAAATTCTACCTGGTATATTATCAATAAAAAAAAATCTACCCAAAGATTTAATTTCTGTCCTCTCAAGTCCACCTTTCTAAACACAACCCTTTGGATATTTGAAGATAGCTGACATGACTCAACTCAGCTTTCTCTTCTTGGATTAAACACTCCCAGTTCCTTCAGCAGTTCCTCATACAATAATTCTCAGCCTTCATCTACAGGGGCCCTCTCCTGGACACACTGCAGTCTGTCCATGAGCATAGCAAGTTGTTTTCTGAGTGTTACAACTCATGCACGGTATTTGTTGTTGTTGTTATGTGCCGTCGAGTCAGCCCGACTCATAGCGACCCCTCCTTGGGTTTCTGAGGCAGTATCACTACAGAAGTAGGATTGCCCAACCTTCCTTCCGAGGAGTGGCTGGTGGGTTTGAACCGCCAGCCTTCTGGTTAGCAGTCAAGTGCTTTAGCCACTATGCTACCAGAGCTCCCTTTTATCTTCCATGTTTTGAAGACTGCATTAATGCAGTCTAGTATTACATTAAATTTATGAACAGTGACAATTAGCTATAGCCTTTAGTATGGATTACACCTCAACACAAAGAGAACAAAAATCCTCACAAGTGGACCAATAAACAATATCACAATAAATGGAGAAAAGATTGAAGTTGTCAAGGATTTTATTTTACTTGGACCTACAATCACTGCCCATGGAAGCAGCAATTGGGATCAAATGATGTATTGCACTGGGAAAATTTACTGCAAAAGACCTCTTTAAAGTGTTAAAGAGCAAAGATATCACTTTGTAGACTAAGGTGCACCTGACCCAAGCCATGGTATTTTTGATAGCCTCATATACATGTGAAAGATGGACAATTAATAAGGAAGATCAAAGAAGAATTGATGTATTTGAATTGTGGTGTTGGAAAATACCATGGACTGCTAGAAGCACAAACAAATCTGTCTTGGAAGAAGTACAGCCAGAATGCACCTTAAAAGTGAGAATGGCCATACTTGGTCTCTCATATTTTGGTTGTGTTATCATCTGGGACCAGTCCCTGGAGAAGGATATCATGCGTGGTAAAGTAGAGGGTCAGTGAAAAAGGGGAAGACCCCCAACGAGGTAGACTGACACAGTGGCTGCATGGACTCAAGAACAGCAAGGACTGTGGGGATGGCACAGGACCAGGTAGTGTTTCCTTCTGTTGTACACAGGTTGCTATGACTTGGAACCAACTCGACGGTACCTAACAACACGATTAGCTCAGTTCGAATTTGTAACTAAAATGCACCCCACTCACCTTAACAAACACAGGTAGCTAACTCTTCTTCCTTCACACTGTATTTCTACTGTTTTCTTTAACCCAATTATGTTGTGTTGTTGTTAGGTGCTGTCAAGTCAGTTCCAACTCATAGTGACCCTACGTACAACAGAACGAAACACTGCCCAGTCTTGTGCCATCCTCACAATTGCTGCCATGCTCAAACCCACCATTGCAGGCACTTGAGTCAATCCATCTCGTTGAGGGTCTTCCCCTTCTTTGCTGACCCGCTACTTTACCAAGCATAGCCTTTTCCAGGGAGTGGTCTCTTCTGACATGACCAAAGTAATACAGGTGACATTTCTGCTCATTTGCCTTTCATTCACACGAAGTTTTGTCTTATCCTTTAAATAGCCAAGATACCTGATAATGAAAAAAACCACAGTCAAACAAGTAGCAACCAGCAGACTAGGGTGAATGTGTCAAGGAGGGACTTTCATGGAATTCCAATCCTCTGAATATTTGGATCCAGCTACATACAGGCTTCTGACTCAATCCTCAAACTATGAGCTTAACATGGAAATGGATTAAAGGTTGGGCACATGGCAATCTTCATCTTTCTGATGGTTTAGTTCTATTTTTCTTGAATTGTCTATTTGTTGATAGAACTAATTTTCCTTTCTCTGAAATCTCTGGAAAACTAAAAGTTCATGTACTTCAGTGGCACAGGACAGAACCTCAACTAACTCTGAAAGGTTGTCTCACAGACAAATGTGAAACAAACTGAGAAACAATTGTCACATGACAAAAGTCAACCACAAAAAGACAGGTAGCACTGCCATATGGCACCTCCAGCTGAAGGCTGAGGACATGTACCCATAAAGGAGGCCATCTGTTCAGTTCTGGGCTTCTTCTGATGTTATTCTTCCCCAGAGGGAGGGTGGCTAAGAGTCTAGCCTTTGTAAAGCCAAGGTATTAGATTAGTTCTCTGCTCCCAAGTCCTGGAGTGTCTTCCTACTTGAACCCTATCAATGGGCAGGAGTTTACTATTCAAGAGTTTACTGTTCAAGTTTACTATTCATTCAGGAGTTTACTATTTACTATTTGCTGGAGCCAGACCATTTGGGTTTGTATCCTGGTCCCACAATTTACTAGGCTTTATAGCCTTCAGGAGGTAACCTGTTTGTAAAATGGAGTTGTCTATCTCAAGAGTTGTGAGGAAAAAAGTTACTACTTACAAATCACTTAAAACGGTGCCAAGCACTTACGCATTTGATAAATATAGCAAAGTTTCTTTAGTATTTCGGCCAGAAATGAGTTTTGATGCAGGTGAAGGTCCTCTTATCACTTGGTTTCTCCGTTATTGATAAACCAGGCTGAGCAAGTTGTTAGTATGAGCTCTGGTGGCACAGTGATTAAAGCATTCTGTCACTAGCTAGAAGGTTGAAAATCCCACCAGCCACTGCCTGGGAGTGAGGCTGGCTGCTTCTGTAAAGATTTACAGCCTCGGAAACCGCACGGGGCAGTTCTACCCTGTTGTATGGTGTCAGTATGAGTTGGAATCGACTTGATGGCAATGTTTTGGTAGTGTGGCAGTTAAGGCAGTGTATCGACTTGGCTAAGCTATGGTTTTGAGTGGTTTGGCAACTGGATATTCCCCACGATGAGATTGTCATCACCTTCATGGTGGCATCTCTTTTGAGACATTCATCAGTGGAAGGGGAGTTGCCTTTGGGGTGTGGCTTGCTTAGTGTATATGGAAAGGCTTTGAGACAGATCTTTAGCTTTTCAGCACATCTGGATAACCAGTCCCCTGCTCATCTTGGATTGTCCCTGGACTTCAGTGGTCACTTTTCTGTTTTCTGCCAAGTTTGGGCATGTTTCCTGATCTTGGGTTTGTGCCATTTTACCTGGCCACCTTGGGTTCACCAGCCTCAGCAGCCAGCAGCTGTTGATCAGAAACTTTTAGCCTACCCCAGTGAGGCAGAAACAAGAGGCAGAGCGGAAGCTGAATGTTGAGGGGCCTTTACCCAGCCCCTAGAGTTGGCACTCTGAACTTAAGACTTCTAGCCTCCTAAACTGTAAAAGAGTAAATTCCTTTTTGTTAAAGCCATCTACTCTTGGTTATTTCTGTTATAGCAGCACCAGCGAACCAAGACAGGTAGATAAACGAGGACTTCCAAAGACCATGTTAAACCTGTAGGGGATGTGGTAGAAGACAACTGTTAAGAGTCCCAAATTCCTATTGATTGGGAAGACAAGGCAATTTCCTCCTGCATACACTTTATTCACACATGCTAAATCTCACGAAACACATCACACTGTCAGGAAAGATGGCTAAGAGGAAGTTAGGGCTGTCTGGGTAATCCTTCCTTCTGGCTTTCTTTTGCACAAACGTAAACAAACAGCCAGGATTAAGACTGGGCACAAGGGGGTGAAGGGTGAGGAGGGGCAAAGCACCGGGTGCAGGGGCAGCGCACAGTGAGGCAGGCAGGCAGCAGTTCTAGCCAATCAACACTTTATTTTTCTGCTGACACCTGCACAGATGTTACCATCCACTTCCTGACCACAATAGGTCCTAGCACACTTGGACTAGCCACAGCCCAGACGTCTCCTCAGTCCTTCCTCGGACAGTGAGGAAGCTTCCGATCCCCAACCACAGCTCCTGCCCACCAGCCCCAGTGCTGTGCGTATGTGGTGGAAGGCTGCGTCAGAGGCCAGGATCAACTAGGGCAAGGGTGCAGTGGAGATGACACTGGCTAGTGACTGAGGGACACAACTATTGCTGACCCACCACCCCAAGTTTAGTCTTTATCTCCCAGACCAGGAGCCTCCCTAGAATTTAGCCAGTGCCTGCTGGGAAGGAAGAGGTGAGAAAGAGTGAGTGTTAAACTGCTAAGGATGGGTGACACAGCAGGGAAATAAAGCAGAGAAGAGCATGAGACAGGAGAGAAAAATGATAAAGTGCCTGAACTAAACAACCAAGTGGGACATGAGGGCAAAGCAGCACAGGTCCCTGAGGATAGGAGGAAAGAGGGAGGGATAGACCACCAGGGGTCGGGGCACAGTGGAATGAGAATAAAGGTGAGGCAGGGAGGCAAGTGCAGGCTGCAGGAAGGACTTCCCTAGCCCTGTTCACACCCACTAACCCAAATGTAAAATTATTTACAAACTTAAAATCGATCCCAGGCCCAGGTACTGCACCAGGCCTGGGACAGCAGGCAGGCAGGCAGGCAGGGAGAAGGTGGACTGGCTGCTAATGGGCAGCCAGCTTTCCTTCGCATTGCCCCTCCCGAGTAGTAGGGAAAGGAGGAAACAGCAACACCCCTAGCCAGGAAACCCTACTGCACCTGCACCTCCCTCCCGTGGCTCATGGTTCTGCCCTGGACTGAGCCTCTTGGTCTGACTGTACCAGAGATAGGGTGTCGGGCCCCTGGGGCTGAGCATCAGGGGGCTTTGGGGGTGTCTCTGGCCCCAGCCCCAGCTCTGCTTTCAGCTGCTCCAGCTCCCCCTGATCTAGCAACTCAAAGTCCTCAGTGGCGAGTGCCTCTTCTTCCTCGGGGGCAGGTAGAAGCTGGGGTGAGTCCTGGGGCAGAGGTGGGAGCACAGAGGGGGCAAGGACTGGGTCACTTTCAGCAAGGCAGAGTGGAGGTGACAGGGTGCTGGGTAGAGTGGTCAGGTCACCACTCACTGCCTGCAGGCTCAGCGTCTCCACTGGTACCCCTGGAGAGCACTTCACTCCATCAGTGGGGGATCCTGCCCCATTGAAGTGTGTATTCACAAAGTGAAGAGGAGAAGAGAGCCGAAGCAAGGTTTCCTTGGTTGCCCCATCTTCCTCCTCTGAGTCCAGAGCCTGCCTTGACAGGGCCAGAGAGGGGCCCAGCAGCTCTTCAGGAGGGGCTAGCTCTGCCTCCTCTCCCTCTCCCAGCTCCCGGCTCAGGGCTTCCTCCGGCTCACTTGGCAGGCTCTGCTGGTCCAAATCTGTGCAGAGAACAAAGGGTCAAGAATGGGACTGCCATGCTGATTGGCCACAACAGACCAGTCAGCTCGAGGATGAGAACCCCAGGCACAGACTGCTTGGCCAGTTCCTGGTGTTAAGATCATTCACGAGCTAGAGAAGAATTACAGGGCCAGTTCCCCAGAATGTTTATGGGGGGCCAAGAGCACAACCAGTGTCTGACAACAGAGAGCTGTAAGATCAGGAGGGGCAAAGGGCTCCCCATACCCTCAGAGACATCAGTCAGTTGTGGAGTCGTGGCCCGGGATACAGAGAAGCCGCCGCTCTCTAGGATAGAAGCCTCCTCATCCGACAGCTCTGAGTCTGTGATGGCCAAAGCCAGTGCTGTTTTCTTCACATCCACCTGCAGGAGAGCCAGGGTGAACACAACAGGTGAAGGGATACAAAACCCAATTTTCCAGGAGCCCCTTAAGTTCCACTTCCTGATCTCTGCCTCCCACCCCCTTGAGAGGTAGCAGCTTTAGAACAGCAATACCCTTTCCCAGCCTTCCACGTGCCACTTCTATCCCCTTGGGCCTCACCACTGGGGAGAAGCCAGCCAGTTCTGCCTCGCTTTCACTCTCAGTCTCTGCCAGTGGCTCGTCACCTCCTGGGGGTCCGTTCTTACCCTGTCGCTCTAGAGAAGGCAAGAGCAGCTGGGTTGTGACTAAGCAGGGACAGAGGCAGGGAACAAACAAAGCCAAGGGGCAAGAGAATATCTAAATCTCAGGGCATTTCACATGCTATACACCAAGGCCCTACCCCACTTTGGCCCTCCTGAGGTAAGGGACCCCCTTACTCCTCTTGTCGTGTTTATGATGCAGGGCATCTGCTTCTGCCTTCATGCTGTAGTCCAGCTGCATGAGTAGGGGCTCGAGCCGCGTGTACATCCTCTGGATCAGCTCATGATAAACCACAAGGGGCCACAGCAGGATACTCAGTACTATGGATTAGAGAGCAGTCATCATTCTCTACACCAGTGCCCTGAGGTATTTCGATCAACTGGCCCCTATGCATGAAGGGCAGAAGGAAGATGAAGCCCATTTCCCAGGCTGTGCCAACCTCCTCCCTCTACATCCACTGCCCTCTCCTTAGATGACTCTTTTGTTACCAACACCATAGTATCCCTGGAGACCTCTGTTAATTGGTAACTAAGCAGAGAAAGAGTACAGTCCTCTCTCTGGGTCAGACCAAGGGAAGAAGACAGGGACAGGGCTTTGAGAAGAACAGTGCGTAGACCTTACTCACAGACAATGTAGGAAATCATAATCCCTGGAACATAGTGTCCCAGAACAGCAAGCACAGCACAGCCAGAGCACACTCGAGCACAGAACTGCAGAAAAGAACAGAGTCTTAAGAAGAGCAGTGGGCTGGGGCAGTGGGCAAGTCAGTTCTGTACAGCTGGTGATGGAAGCCCCCTTCAGAAATCCTGTGATCCCAATCTAGTGAACAGAATGCCTGAAGATAACTAATTCAGGAAGTTTGTAGTAAGTACCAGCAGAGGAGAATGGTGGTAGTTACTAAAGACTTCCTGAATTAGTGGTCTTTGAGGAGCTCTAGTGGCATAGTGCCTAAGGCATCTGATTGGTAACCAGAAGACTGGCGGTTCAAACCCACCAGCCACTGTTCGGAAGGAAGATGGGGCAATCTACTCCGTAGTGATACTGCCTCGGAAACCTAAGGTGGGGTTGCTATGAGGCAGATCTGACTCGACAGCAATGAAGTTTTTTTTTTGAAATTTTTTTTTTTTTTTTTAGCTCTAGTGGCATAGTGCCTAAGGCATTTGACTGCTAATGAGAACTATTTTTTTTTTTTTTTTTTGGTAGTAAGTACAATCAAAAAACTATAATGGGACTGCTCTCCTTAGCAGGAGGTAGTGTCAGAACATCAGCTTATTTCCTGGGGCAAGCCTGCCTCTCATACCAGGCTACTGGCTGTGAATGGGACTTCAAGGAGGCAGCTAGGCCTCTCTATTCAGGGTCTCCAATCAAGAAATTCATGCGCAACACTAAAGAAAAACATAGAACCTGCAAAAACCACATAAACGTGGATTAACTTGTAGGACATTATGCTGAGTGAAATAAGTCAATCACAGAAAAACAAATACCATATTAGATCATATTGTAAAAAGCCAAGGAAAAGTTTATATGTGAAAAGAAACTTTCTTCATTGGTTACTAGGAGTGAGAGAGAAGGAAACACTTCAAAAATAAATGAATGAATGAATAAATAAATAAAATACATGTACATACATTCATTTAAAAAAAAAAGAAAGAAATTCCTGTTACTACTTTCCACCCCTCCCATGTCCCCACAATGCAGGGAGCTACTCTGTATGGCATGAGGGAGGTTACCTGAGCTGGATTCTGCCTCTTGTATTGCAGCAACTCCTGCAGATGAATCTGGAAGGTGAGCCAGCTCTCAGCCAGGTATCTGCACAACTCGGGCACACTCAGCAGGTGCGGCCGGGCGCCTGACCCCGCACCCTCACTGGGGAGACATGATATGACCCCTAGAAGCCTCAGATACCAGCTTTCTAGGCACTCAAATCCCTCTGAGAATGCCAACAGGGTCTTTAGTCTAAGGAAGTGGAAAACCCCACCTCCCAACAGCTGGCTGTCCTGGTCCTGGGAAGCCAAGCCTAGAGCACCAAGCCCTCTGCCTCAAAAGGAGCAACCACACAAACACCCACACATGAACCTAGGAGCAAGCTAACTCAATGGCTTGTTACCAGTCCATCCACTAGGCTGAGGTCTATGCCTGTAGAACATAGAGTACTGCCCTGCTCTAAATGACACTGGTACCAGTAAGCAAGACAGGATCTGGACATTTGTCTTCAAGAGGTGGCCTGCACTCACCTGTCAGAGTGTGGCTCCTCTGGGGATGATGCTATAGAGAGAGGAGGGGGACACGTTATTGAGTGGGAGGGGTCCTGGGAGACGTTCCCCTAGGCAGAATTATTTGCCCCTCCTTTGAATCCCAAAGCACTTTCTTCAGATGTCAATCACAGGAAGTACTACATTTTTATTATTGTTTGTACGTCTATCCATTTAGACTTTACCCTTCTTAAACACAGACATCACATTTTATTTGGATTTATATACCAAGCAACTCAAACACTAACTGGCCCTAGTTGCTCCAAAATGCCTATTAAATGATTATACAGTTAACAAGAAACTGCGTAAGATTAAAAATTCACCTAATTCCTACAATATCTGACCTGTTACTATAAACAGGTATATACAAACTCATTTAACCTCCACCTTTCTACAAGTACGTTGCGTCATCTTGGTCTACAAGTGAAAAAAGTGAGGGGAAAAAAGCAACTGAGTGACTTATATAAAGTCACACACACACACATGATAAGTGGCAGGGCAGAGAATGGAAACCAGGCAATTTGGCAGGAGAGTCCAATCTTAACTACACCAACAGTAACGTGGATTTTGGGAAAGCAGCAATTCTCTACTTCCAGACTGGAAGGGGGATGGTGTCTGGGAAGCAGGAGGCCTGCTGCACATTCTCCATCCTGCAGCATCAGACACAAAGTAAGTGCACAAGAGGTATTTGCTCAATGAATGAAGAACACTCACCTGGTACATCAGGGAGAAAGCGAGGCTGCCAGAGATCCACCAGAAGATAGGCCAAAAGTGAAATGCTAAGTAGGAAGAAGGGTCGAAGGGAAGACGAAGACAGCAACCTGAGAGAGACAGGCACTTCAGCAGGTGAGCGGAGAGAGAATCCTGACGCATGGTAAAAGAGAAGTGCCCAGCCACCCATGGGGGAATGGCAACCTCTAGGCTTGACTCCGCGATCCAAAGGTAATGGGGCATCCCAGGAGGGCTTCTGTCTTTAAAAGCTGGGGGGGATGAGTCACCCCTCCAGGCCTAGCGACAAGCTCCTCAGCTAGGGCAAGGATACCACGGGGCCCCTCCACGCCCCCGCTCTCCCCGCGCAGCCGGCCCCGCCCCCTCCTCCGCGGCCGTTACCAGAAGAGGCCGTTGAGCGCGGCCGCCGTGACCAAGCTGTGCAACGGCTTCTCCCACACAAGCAGCCGCTGTGCCGCCGCCAGCACCGCCTCCCATCCGCGGAGCCGCAGCCACAACGTCGTGGCCAGGCGTCCCACCGCCTCGGCCGTGGCCGCCTCCTCCTCCACCTCGCCGGTGGCCTCACCCATGCCGAGACTCAGACCAAGGCCGAGGCCGAGGCTCAGGCCTAACCCTGGTCCCCCACCCGCGCCTGCATTACCACCGCCACAGCCGCTCGCCATGGCCTCGCCGCAGCCGCCGCCCGAGCCCGCGAGGAGCCAGGGCTGCGCGGCCGCCGCCGGGGGCGCGTCAAGCGGAAGGGGGCGCACGCCGCGGACAGGGCTGCCGAGGCCTCGGCCGGGCGTCACGTGACGGCGGAGGGACGAGCCCATCACGTGACAGGGCCTAACCGCCGTGATTGGGCGGCCGGCGCCTGCGCGTAGGCCGGCTGCCGGTGACTGCACCTACGTAGGTGCGTGTTCTGGCCGCTTAAGTCGTGACCAGAGGTCTCGGGTTGGACGGTGTGGCTCCGCCTATCCTTGTTTTCCCTGCTACAGCCTTTTTTTTCCTCCTTGTGTGGGCAGGGCGGCTAGGGACTCTCATCCTGGACCGGTACCCCTGGTGGGATGCCGATCGGAGGGGCAGAAAGTGGGCTTCCCAATGCCTACTATCCCCGGTAGGATCTGGTTCTGCTGTGGGCTGGGCGGCGGCCCTCACATTACTCAACCCTTGACACCTTAGTCCCCCCAGTTGTTTTCTCCCCTCAGCGGATAAACAAACGCCAGCACGTGACCCGGTAGACTAAAGAAACAGCGTCACCTACTCAGAAAAGTTGTTTCCTCCCTATTTCTTTCTGTAAACCTCTGTCCTGCCTCCACGTATCGGAATTTCTTCCTTCTTCTTAAGAATGATACTGGGGGATTGGAGGGGATATGAAAGTTTAAAAATAAAGCCTTGTTTAGGGTGTTGTTTACTTTGGGGGGACATGTTAGTATCACTTATTTAGGTTTCCAACGTTGCACGCGCTTTATATCCCTTTAGATAATTCGGTCCTTTAAATAACCCTACAACATAATTAGTTAAGTTTACTGAAACTTTTGACATACTAAAGGCTATACAGAACAAAGGAAATTTCCCTTTCCACCTTGTCCACAGTTCACCCACGATTAACAGTTTCTGTGGTATCATTTTAGACGTTTTTAGGTATGTTGCTAAGTGTGTTGCTCCCCCTTTTTTTAAAAAAAAAAAGATTAACCTGCTGTTCCCGTTTCTTGCGTCGTTCACATTAACATTACAAAGCTACCAAATGGCCTGCCTCAAGTCCCTACTCAGTGCGGAATGGTCCCCTAGGAATTGACCCCATTTCTTGGACGAGGGCACACTGAGGCTCGGCTCGGGAGGCTTCCCCGGGAACCCAGTGAGCCCAGGAATTCGAAGCCGGAGATCGGGACGGGCGCCAGGAAGTGCAGGGCGAGACAATTCGCCCATGACTCCTCTCGCAGCTTGTAAACGCGGGACCGACGCGCCGCGAAACTGAGGCGGAGTGCACGCTTCGCAGCCGGGTCTCCTCAAGCCCGCGAGGTGAGCGCCGCGCCAGAGTCGCGGCCCCGGGTGCCCAAAGGCTCCGCCCGGGGCGGAACAGGAAGAGCCGCCCGCTCGCCGGCCTGAGCCCCGCCTGCCGCCCGCGCCGGAGGAGTGGGGGTGGACGGGTGAAGGCGGTGGCCCGCACCGGGAGGCAGGCGGGCTGGCGGACGACGGGCAGGGGTGGCTCCCAGCCCCTTACGACGCGTCCCCTTGCCTTTCTCCTTCGCAGGCGGCGTCTGGCGGCGTGATGGACCTGACAGGGCTTCTACTGGACGAAGAAGGCACCTTCTCCCTCTCGGGCTTCCAGGACTTCACGGTGAGCGGGCGACCCGCCCCTTCTCGCCTCCTGTGTCTCGGAGCTCAGACCCGGACGCTCTGCTTCAGGCCGGAGCAGGGCCGGGAGTTGTCCTGACTGTCGTGTTGGGGAGCCGGGCTGTGCCTACTCGAGGCCCCGGCTCTTGGGCCCTGAGGGAAAAGCGCCGGGTAGGGATGGGGGTGGGGTGACCAGCGAACCCTTTTGCAAGGACTTCTCCCGGGGCGCCCTCGTTGGAGAGGATTCCTGCTCCTTGCACCGTGCTGCCTTTGGCAAACAATGCAAGAAGTCCGGGCCGGGTGGGGCGGAGGCCGCATGGGCAGTCCCCTTCACCCGCTTTCCAGTCCCGAGCCAGAATCTCCATCATACCCTTCCCTGCCCTTCACCCTCCACCACCTTCCTGCCTGTTTCAGTTCCTCCCGGGACACCAGAAGCTGAGCGCGAGGCTCCGAAGGAGACTCTACTATGGCTGGGACTGGGAGGCCGACTGTAACCTGGAGGAGCTCTCCAGCCCGGTGGCAGGTGAGGCGGTGCCGTGTGACAGGCCTGTGAGAAGCATGAAAATGGGGTTGTCACCGAAAGAAAGGATCGTAGATTTTCTGGGCCTATTGTCCGGTCTCGTCACAACCAGCCTATTGGTATTTGGTTCAAGAGCTTGGTTTATGTTTCATATTCTTTTAGTCTAAGTAAAAAAGTTACTGTCTCACAAAGGTAAGTCCGTCTTTATTTGTATATCAAAAACTTTTGATTTTAATTAAACTTTTGATTTTTCAAGGGTACTTACATATCTCCAAAATGAACAAGGTACTTTTATTCTGGATAATCTCAGGTGAATGGAAAATGAGCCTTCCTGTTGGAAGACGCTGAAATTCAAACTTGAAATGGACTTTTGGTCTCGTGTGGGAGAATGTGTTCTCTGTTCGTCCTACGGTCCCGTTCCCAAGGCCTCAGCCAGGATGGCTCTGGGTCTTCTGCTGCTACCTTCTAGGTGGCTTGGCGGTGGGGAAGGCAGTTGTTGTTCACCCTGCTCTCCTTCTGCCTCTTGCAGACATTGCTGTGGAGCTGCTCCAGAAGGCAGCCCCCAGCCCTATCCGGCGACTCCAGAAGAAATACGTAGCTCATGTGTCCCGGTGAGTCTGGAATTGGGAGGAACAGGGTGAGGTGATTTGGGCCCTAGAGCAAGAGGAATGGCTATCTCTAAAGAGAAGATAGAAAAACACAAGGATGAGCATCCTAGGGGTTACCAGGAGCTGAGAGGCCCTGGGGTTTAATTACAGATTCTTTCCTCCACCCAGAGAGGCTTGCATCTCCCCATGTGCAATGATGCTAGCTCTGGTGTACATTGAGAGGCTCCGGCACCGAAACCCAGACTACCTCCAGCATGTGTCATCCTCTGACTTGTTCCTGATCTCCATGGTAAGACGCCCCCTCCCCTTCATCTCCTTGGTGAGCTAGGAGCTGGGTGTGAATGCTACCGACAAAACCGCTGCTTTCTCTGCAGATGGTGGCCAGTAAGTACCTCTATGACGAAGGGGAGGAGGAGGAGGTCTTCAATGATGAGTGGGGAGCTGCTGGGGGTGTGGCTGTGCCCACTCTCAATGCCCTGGAGAGGGGCTTCCTAAGTGCCATGGTGAGTAGCTCTTCTCTTTCTCTCATTCTGTTTCCCTGGCCCATCCTTATGTTCCTTTTGTCCTTTTGTCTTTTTTTTTGCTCAGCTTGCTATTGGATCATTTCCCTTTCTGTCTGGCCCCATCCTCCTATCTTCCCTTTCCAGCCCTTCTGGATTTTAACCGCGGCTGTAGGAGGTTCCTGGAGCAGTGAAGCCAGGACTGGGGGTTTCCTCTGTCCCTCCAGGGCCCACAGTACTTGTACACTCTGAGTCAGAGCTTGTCTTACAGATTTCTGATTATTTGCTTCCATGCTTTCTCTGTCCCGTCACCTTTGCGCTCCCTGTGGGCATAGACCATGCTCAGGGTTGTTTTCTCTCCTTGCCCTTGATGGAGGGTATGATGTGAAACCAGATAGGTGGTCATTAAACAAGTAAATACATAAAAGCATTTGGAACCAAGTCTGGCACGCAGTAAATGCCAAGTAAATGCCAGCCCTAGTGGTGGTTGTAGTTGTTGTTGTTTCTCTTGTCATCACATGACTGTGGCTCATATCCAAGTACTGCATATCCTCCCTACAGGATTGGCGTCTCTACACTGATCCTCGAGAGATCTTTGAGGTGCTGAGCTGGCTGGAGAGCTGGTAGGTTCTAGGAACTGGGAAGGATGGCTTGAGGGGTTTGGGGGCTGAGGCCTAAGTCATGGGAACTAGAGATGAGAATCCATGGAACTGGGAAAAAGGAGGAGACAAAGTAGAGAATTGCCCAAAGTAGTGGTTCCCAACTTGTCTGCCTTCTTCCTGATCACTTTTGGGAGGGTGAGATGGGAGATGCTTCTTTAAAACACAGGTTCTTGGGGCCTCACTCTCTGGTTCTGGTTCAGCAGATAGCCTAGGAATCTGTACATTTAACAAACTTCTCCCTGGGAATTTTGGGTGTTTCCTGAGGGCCGACTACGGTTTCACAGGTTATGTGGACACTGTTGGGCTGACTGCTGAGGGGCTGTGGATTCTCTCTCTCTCTCCCCTCCCCCAGTGTGGCCGAACAGCAGGGGCGCCGGCGGGGCTGGTACACCTACACGGACCTGTGTGTGCTGCTGGAGCAGCCAGCCTGGCAGCTGGCTCTGGGTTCCCTCTGCCAGCAGCTGGCAAAGGTGAGTGAGGGCTAGTGTGTAGGGTGGGATAACATAATGGAAATACCAAATGTGGCTAATAGATGGGGTTTGGGAGTAGTTGGATTAAATAAAAAACAAAAACACTGCCGTCAAGTCAATTCCAACTCCTAGTGATCCTGTAGGGCAGAGTATGATTGCTCCATAGGGTTTCCAAGACTATAAATCTTTATAGAAGCAGGTTATTGCTGCTTTCTCCCTTGGAGCAGCTGGTGGGTTCGAACTGCCAACCTTTTGGTTAGCAGCCAAATGTTTAACCATTATACCACCAGAGCTCCTGTTGGGTAAGGTGGGGTATAAATGGCTACAGAGAGCTCTAATTTGAACACAAGTTTCTAGAGATAAGGGGTAGGCGTGTTAGAAGCAGGCTTTGGGGGAAGATACTCCCAAGTATGTGAGACTGACCTTCCTTACCTTCTCTCCTGCAGCTGTCCTGCCTGTTAGCCATGGCGTATGTGAGCAGTGTGGCTCTGGCTGTGGCATCGGTGTCTGTGATACACCAGTCCTTGGGACTGTCCTGCAGCCCTCCACCCGGCCCCCCTGACCTTGGACTGGCCTCCAGGGGCCTCTTGGAGCCCTGCATACCTTCTCCTGTGCCACAGTGCCTGCCATCTCCTGCGAACATTTCCAGATGCCTAGAAGGGGACATAGGGCTACGTTCATTCTGGGGAAGTCTTCTGGCCTCCCTGACTCCCCCACCGTTGCCTCCCCCAGACCCACCTGCCCCTCCCACTCTTCCTTATAGCTGCCGCCTTTGTCAGAAACTTCGGAGAGACTTCCCAAGCTGCCGTGACTGCCACCACACCAACCGTACAGTCTCTCCTGGGCCTCCCAGTCCCTGGCACCACACCCATGGCTTGGCTCCCCCCTGGCCTTGGAGCCCGATGCCCCCTCCACTCCCCCAGCCCCAGCAATGTTCCCTTTTCAGTGTCATGGAGCTGGCCCGCCTCAAGTCCTTCATTTTCCCAGGCTAGGCAGGGCTCTGAGGAATGCATTAAGAGGACTTGGGAGTCCCTGAGAACCTGGAGGAGCCAAACTTGATTTATATCTTGTGTACCTCTCTGGGTCCTTGGCTGGTCCCCTGTCCTCCTGGTGACAGAGCTGAAGCGGTTGTGGGGTAGACAACAAGGCCATTCACTCTCCCAGGCCTCAGTGGCTGGTGCAGTGATAGTACCTGGGAAAGCTGCTCGGTGACCCAGGCCATGTCACAGATCAACAGAGGAGAAGCCCTTCTTTCTCCACCTTCCCAGGGCTCTTCTAGACTTTTGAGTTTTCTAGCGTGGGAGGGTGAAGGTGAGAGATGGGATAGGTGGGGCGAGGGAAGGAAGGACAGGTTAACTGGGGTCTGTGTGACGTCTCTGTGGCAGGAGAGCCAGGGACTGAGAAGGCTGAGGTGGCTGCTGCTGAGGGAAGGCTCTCCATGTCCATCCCTTGGGAACAGTGTAAAGGAGCCAGGGACTGTTGGGATCTTCACCCTTGACCTTTTGTCTTCCAGCCTTTCAGTGCCCAGCTCCTAGGCTTCCCTTTTCTGGTTTTCCTGGTGTTCTCTTCATAGACCTCTCTGGCCACTGCTTTGTATCTGGATTTTTCACGCTTTTGTAGAACTGAGGTTTCAATAAACAAGTTTCAATTGCACGGCCTGGACTCTTTCTTCTAGAGCAACCCTTGAAGATCTTTTGGGATCTGCCTTCTAAGCCTGCTTCTTGATCCTCTCATGCAAATTGTTTTCTCTGAACCCCTTTTCAGAACTTTCCTATTGTTAGTTGCAGGCTCCTGTTTCAAACACGTCCTGTCCCTGCTCCCAGCACACTGGGACCCCAGCCTTGCTGACCCTGAGAGGCCATGGACACTCATGGTGACTGTCATGAGGTTGGCCCTACCTTTTACATGTTTGTGTGGATCCTGAAGCACATCTGGAGAGGGGCCAAATGGTGTATGTCATCAGAGCCCCGAGAGCTCCTTGAGGGCAGTCCTGTAGACACACCACTCTGCCCTGACTTCCTCGCTGGCCTGACATGAAGTACTCTGCAAGGTTGAGAAAACTCCAAGGCTGTGTTATCACTGGAAGAAGAAAAACACATGTTCCGGGCCATTGGATTCAGAATATTTGCAACTGCTTAAGATGATCTCCAAGAGCTCTGGTAGCATAGTGCCTAAGGCACTTGACTGCTAACCAGAAGGCTGGCGGTTCAAACCCACCAGCCACTCCTCAGAAGGAAGATGGGGCAATCTACTTCTGTAGTAATACTGCCTCGGAAGCCCAAGGAGTGGTCGCTGTGAGTCGGGTCTGACTCCACGGCACATAACAACAACAAGATGATCTCCAGGAGCCCCGGTGGCACAGTGGTTAAAGCATTCACTGCTAACAGAAAGGTCGGCAGTTCACACCCGCCAGCTGCTATGTAGGAGAAAGATGTGGCAGTCTGTTTTCTCTGTAGGAGAAATGTGGCAGCTTTGGAAGACCTATGGAGCAGTTCTCAGTCCTTAGAGTGTTGCTATGAGTTCAAATTGACTCCATGGTGATGGGTTTGGGTCTGAAAGATGATCCACAGCAAGAGTGGTACTGCCCCCTAGGGAGCATTTTGGAAATTGATGTATCATTTTGGTTGCCAATGAGGATTTGAGGGGATGCTGCAGGCATTTAGTCCGGCTGGGTAGGGTACTAAACCAAACCCATTGTCAGATGCTAGACATCTTGAAATGCTCAGGATCTCCCTCAAGACAGGTCCTTCTCTAACTATAAAAAATTCCCAAGACAACTTTTGAATGACCTGCTGGAGAGACATCATGTACATGAAAAACCTGTTTATCTGAGTTTGGTGCTATCTTCCTATTTTGTGTCAACACAAAATAGCTTTTGTACATTTTCAATAAGACTGTTTTCCGGTAAAGCACTTCTATGTAAATTAAGATAAAACAGTAACTTGTTTTTCATCATTTTGCCAAGATTTTGTTTATTGTTTTGGGAAATTAGGTCACCAATGGCAGCACTGCTTGTGACATCTGCGTTGCCAGTAAAATACCTGTACGTGTTGGCATTTGTAGCTATCACATTCACCGTAGTTCTGCATATGGATGAGGGGATTGGACTACTCACTGTCTTCTGGTTTAGTTGTAGTCACGCTTTTACGTATTAAAATGCATATTATTATGAATTACTTTTCCTATATTTCTTCTTTATGTGAGGACATTATATGGAGTGGTAGTCATCGTCATGTGTGATATTAAGTATATTTTTATATTTCATTTTGAGGTAGTCAAGGGGCTTTGGTCCTGAAAGGGTTGAGAACATTGGATGCAATAGTGATAGCTCTAAATTTTGCTGAGGGGAGAATACAGTCTACAAGTTCTCCCCATGTTAATTTGCTAGGTCTCCTCACCCTCCTATCCTACTTTCCAGAGCCTGGTCTATGGGTAGGGGATCTGGATGGAGATTCTTGTGGGAGGGGTCCAGAACTTGGCTCCCCAGTTAATGGGTGATGAAGTTTGCACAAGAGCTGGGCAAAGGTGAAAGGGCCGTGTCCTGCCCCAAATCTCTCATCCCTTCGCTCCGCTTCGTTGACACCTCCACCCCCTCCCCACCCCAGGCAGCTAACTCCACCCAAACTCTGACCTCTTCCTCTCTTCTTAACTCTGGCCCAGGGCAGCCAAGACCAGCTAGAGGCCAGGGCAGCATGAACCGATCACCCGCACATCCCAACCAACTCCGATCTGTGGGCTCCCAGGATGCCCTGGCTCTCCAGCCATCACCCCTTGCTCCCCAGAGCCTCTCATATCCATCTTGGGCCTCTCTGGGTGGGCCTCCTCCCTGGGGCTTCAGCTGTCTTTTGGCTCTGCAGGTAGGAGCCAGAGGTGCAGGAGCTGGTGCTGGCTGAAAGGGTGTTGGTGGGGGAGGGTAGCGTGGCATGAGAGACCCTCTTGGGAGAGCTGCATGCCTGAAGACCACCTCGCCTCCCCTGCAGCATCTCGTTGTCCTGGCTGCTCTGCTCTGTGTCTCCCACCTGCTCCTCCTCCGCAGCCTCCCCCCAGGAGGACTCTCTTACTCCCCTGCCCAGCTCCTGGCCTCCAACCTCTTTTCGAGTGGTGTGTCTACTGCCTTGCAAACTTGGATGGGCAGCAGGTAAGGCATCTCCCTGGAAGAGGGAGTAAGGGCCCTGGAGGGTAGCAGCCACTGCGGGAGCCCTGCTGGCTGCCACATGTGTCCAGATCTGCCAGACCTGGTATTTCTACAGGTTGCCCCTTGTCCAGGCCCCATCCTTTGAGTTCCTCATCCCTGCCCTGGTGCTGACCAGCCAGAAGCTACCTAAGGCCATCCAGACACCTGGGAACTGTGAGCACAGAGCAAAGGCATGGGGTGAGGGTGGGCTGGGTGCTAATCTGAGCATAGGGTGAAGTAGGGGCAGGATTGAGATTGGGCAATGATGGGACTTCTAAGCATTCTAGGGGCCAGGCATCAGCTAGGAGAGTAGAGCTGTGGGGCTCCATCTTACCCACCTTTCTCTTCTCTGTGCTCCAAACCTTGCCCAGCCTCCCTCGTGCTGCGCCTGTGTCGGGGGACTGGCTGCCAGGGCCTGGAGCTCAGGAACACTTCTCTCCGAGAGGTGAGTTCCTGGGGAGCAGAAGAGCTAAAGTGGAGGATTGGGAGGCCCTTGTTTCCATTATGCTGGGACTGAGATGCTCTGGGGGAAGGAATTGGGAGAGGGACCTGGGAGGTCCAGGCTGAAGTCAACCTGATTGAGAGCAGTGTCTTCTCTTCTACTTCCCCAGGTGTCTGGAGCGGTGGTGGTGTCCGGGCTGCTGCAGGGTACACTGGGGCTATTGGGAGGCCCTGGCCGCTTGTTCCCCCACTGTGGACCCCTAGTTCTGGCCCCTGGCCTGGTTGTGGCAGGGCTTTCTGCTCACAGGGAGGTGGCCCTTTTCTGCTCTGTTCACTGGGGCCTGGCCTTGCTGTACGTGAGTCCTAAGAGGTGTGGGATGGTGACCAGTGGGGTGTGTGGAACTAGGGGAGGGTGGAGCTGCTGGCCCAATCAGATTTGCCAGCCATCTGTGTGGGACAACACGTTTTGGATTTTGAATCCAAGATTTTTCCCCTGATTCATCTGGTCTCCCTGACTTTCCTGCTCCTCCCACTGTCCCCCAAAGGTGTCCTTCCTACCTCTTCTGCAGGGGTTTTCTTCTTTGGGGCCCATTTTTAGGGCACTCTGCTCACTCCACTTCTACTGACACCCTGTAGGATGTTGCTTCATCTGGCTCCTAAAGGCCTTTCTTTGTCCTAGGCTTATCCTGCTCATCGTGGTCTGTTCTCAGCACCTGGGCTTCTGCCATTTACCCCCATGGCCCTGGAGGCCAGCTTCAGCCTCTCCAACGCCTGCTCACATCCCTGCCTTTCGGCTCCTATCGGTATGTGGGGGCCTGAGCAGGGCACTCGAGGTTAGTGGGGCTGGCATGGAAGGCCTGCTAACTTTTGGCTTCTGTCTATCCCTCCAAGGCTGGCTCAGAAGGTTCTAGGGGATAGGTTCTCTTCTGTCCTTGTTTTGCCCCTCAGGTACTCATCCCTGTGGCCTGTGTGTGGATCCTCTCTGCCATTCTGGGCCTCAGCACTATCCCCCTAGAGCTGTCTGCCCCCACTGAGGCACCATGGTTTTGGCTGCCTCACCCAGGTCAGTTTTCCAGTCCTCTGTCCTTTACTCACATAAAGGTGTTTGTTTATTCAAACTCAAAGATTTTATGGGCTTCTTTCGAGTTAAATCCTGTGTCTTCTCAAAACATATGGGAAGGAGACACTGAGCTTCTGTTAAGGGTGATGGTATAATTTGGGAACAGATAAGGTGATGGTTAAACAACATGAGCATAATATCACTGAACTGTACACTGAAATGTCAAACATTTTGTTGTATGTATATTTGTTACAATAAAGAAAACAGATAAAGGAGTTGCCAATTTGAGGGTTAATTTCAGCCCCTCACCCCAGGTCTTTTATTTGGGCCAGTGTTCAAAAAATCTATAGTTTCTACAACTTCCCCCAACTCCTTATTGATATTTCTTTTACCCAATTTACACTTTTATGCCATCTACTCCTATAGTCATTTGACTTGGTGACCTATGTATCAAGTTTGCTTTTGAGGCATTATATATGAAATTTGTTCATTCATTTAGTAAAGATCTCTGTTGAGTAAATAGTAAAGTGCCTAGTAAAGCACTCTGTTGAGTGCTGACTATGTACGAGGCATGGGATAGGGGACACAATGATGACACTGTACCTGCCCTAACTAGATAGTCACCCAAATAAATGAAAAATTGCAATTGTGGTAAGTGTAATAAAGAGGTGATGCATTTGTGTGAGGAAAGTTTATGGGGGAATTTAACTTTGTCAGGCAAGGCAGGAAAGGTATACTTGAGAAGTGATCATTGAGCGGAAATGTAAAAGATGAGTAGAGGATAAATGGATGAAGGCAAGAGGAAAGAGCATTCTAGGCAGTGAGAACAGCACATGCAAAGGTCCTGTGGTGGGAGAGAGCACAGCAAGTACAAGAGCCTGAAACAAGGCCAGTGTGTTTGGAGTGAAGGAAGTGAGGTGGAGTGTGGTGGGAGATGAGACTGGAAAGAGAGGTAAGGGTCAGAACAAAGGGACTTTGTAGACCAAGGAAATGGGCCTTTATCCTAAGAGTTCAGTTGTTTTGTCCCAAGACATTGTCTTCAAAGACAACCAGGCATCTAGGGTTCTTGTGGCACAGGCGGTTGGCAGCAGGGAGATGCTCCAGACTTGAGTTTGGCCCCCAAACCACTCTTTCTTCCTTCCCAGGTGAGTGGGACTGGCCCTTGCTGACGCCCACAGCTTTGGCTGCAGGCATCTCCATGGCCTTGGCAGCCTCCATCAGCTCCCTGGGCTGCTATGCTCTGTGTGGCCGGCTTCTGCGTCTGCCTTCACCACCTCCACATGCCTGTAGTCGAGGGCTAAGCCTGGAGGGTCTGGGCAGTGTGCTGGCCGGGCTGCTGGGGAGTCCCATGGGCACTGCATCCAGCTTCCCCAATGTGGGTACAGTGAGTCTTACGCAGGTATGATTCTCTAACTTGGGATGGGGGAGCTGGAGGTGCAGGAGAGGGAAGGGAACTCACACTGATTGTGAGCTGTGCCCACCACTCTGCCAGGCTCTCCACGCCAGTTGTCTCCCCTAGGGAGGTGCTTAGGAGTGGTATGCAGAACTGGAAGTGTGGGGAGGACATGTTGAACTCCTATACGTCAGGTACTGTGTCAGGGCTAGAGTTCCAGGGAACAGTCAGACAAAGTCGCTGTCCTCTTAGGGGACTTCATGGAAGGAGAGGCTGACAAAACCAAAAATTCCAGAGTGATAAGTGCTATTAAGACAACAAAGCAGGGTAATGGCTGAGTAAAGGGGGAAACTTTGGATAGAGTGGTTGGGGGTGCTTCTTGGAGGAGGTAACATGTGAGTTGGGATCTGGATAATGAGAAGGAGGTGGTCACGTGAAGACCTGGGAAGAGTCCGAGGAGGTAGCTGTGTTTTCTAGTGTGTCTTTTTCACTAGGCTGGATCCTGGCGAATAGCCTACCTGGTGGGGCTGATGTGCATGGGACTTGGGCTCTCTCCCCGGCTGGCCCAGCTTCTCACCACCATCCCGCTGCCTGTGCTTGGTGAGTGGATGTACCAGCAGAGCTGATATTGAGCCTGTAGCCACCGGGATAGGCCAACCAGTTGTTCATGGCTTGCACTGTAGCTTTCTGAATATCCTAGGATCTTGGCCTCTTGACTGGGCTTCTGGGATTCTTGCAGAATCAGAAACAAGCCTTTTGGTTGTTTCTCCTCTCCCCCAACACCTGCCCAGCCTTGCGCTACCCCGTTCCGTGCCAGCCCTCCCCCAACCCCCTGGATTTATTCCATACAACACAGGTGGGGTGCTAGGAGTGACGCAGGCTGTGGTTCTGTCTACCGGATTCTCCAGCTTCCATCTGGCTGACATTGACTCTGGGCGAAATGTCTTCATAGTTGGCTTCTCTATCTTCATGGCCCTGCTGCTGCCAAGATGGCTTCGGGAAGCCTCGGCCCTCCTCACAGGTGGGGGAAGTGGAGAGGGGAGGAGGACCAGCCCAGGAGTGAGAACGCAAGGGTCTGAGGTCTCTGGCTCTGGACTCCTATCCCCACCACACCTTTCTCTGGGCTTTGGTGGAAACAATTAATCCATTTGTTTAAAAACATTGTTTAGCACCATGTTAACCACTTGGGATACAAAGATGCCTCTACATGTTAGAGTTTAGTAAAAAAAGATGAGATGTGTAGGAAAAGAAAACAAAACCCAGAAGACTTCAGATAAAGAGCTGTGGTGCTCAACAATGAGAGAGATGGCTTCTATTTGAGAGGATCCAGATAGTTTTCATGGAGAAAGTAACAGTTAGCTGGTTTTTTTTTTTTTTTTTTTTTCCTTCTTCACATTCATCTAGTCTTGAAAGACCCATCCCATTCTGACTCATAGTGACCCCCATAAAGTTTCCAAGGCTGGAAATCTTTATGGAAGCAGACTGCCTCATCTTTCTTCCACAAAGCACTTGGTGGGTTTGAGCCACCCACCTTAGCAGCCCAATGCCTTAATCACAGTGCCACTGGATCTCCTTAGTCTTGAAGGACAGTAAGATATAAAATATATTTTGTGAGAACAAGATCATCCTGATGAAAGAATCATCATAAACAAAGCCATAGAAGTAGAAAGTTTTAGGGCATATCCTGGAAGCAGCAAATGGCTTAGTTTGTCTAGAGCAACGGTTCTCAACTGGAGGTGATCCTATTCCCCAGGAGACACTTGGCAATGCCTGAAGACATTTTGACCATCACACATGGGGCTAGGATGGGTGGATGTTATTGGCACCTGGTGGGTAAAGGCTAGGGATGCTGCTAAACATTCTACTATGCACAGGACAGACAACAAAGAATTACCCACTGCCATCAATTCCAACTCATAGTGACTCTATAGGACAGAGTTGAACTGCCCCATAGGGTTTCCAAAGCTATACATTTTTATGGAAGCAGACTGCCACATTTTTCTCTTGTGGAGTGACTGGTGAATTTGAACCACCAACCTTTCAGTTAGCAGCTGAGCACTTTAACCACTATGCCACCAGGGCTTCTCAACAAAGGATTACCCTGTCCAAAATCTCAGTAGTGCTGATGTTGAGAAACCCAGGTTAGAGCAGAGAAGGTAACAAGTGGGAGATAATGTTGGAATAAGATTAGGAAGGTGCCTGGCACACTGAAAGCATGTCTGCAGGGCATGTGGATGCTCAGAAGATAGGGTGTTGAGCAGGGATCTTGTGTGTAGGGGCTGGGTATAGGACGTGTAGAGTAGAGGGACAAAGGTAGGGGAGGATAGAATGACAATTCAGAAAGAACTGTCCTTAGTCCAAGACTTAGATTTACCCTGGAAGGGTAAGAGTTTCTGGCCTTGGTTGGTATCAGAGTTCCCCTCCTGTCTGGCCCTTGTAGGCTGGAGCCCCTTGGATGTGTTACTGCACTCACTGCTGACAGAGCCCATCTTCCTGGCTGGACTCTTGGGGTTCCTTCTAGAGAACACCATTCCTGGTAAGATGATCCCAGGCCATAGCAGATTGGGGAGTGGCCAGGAAATTATCACTCCTTGGTTTGGACAATGGCCTGACTAATCTCTCTTTTGTAGGCACAAGGCTTGAGAGAGGCCTAGGTCAAGGACTTCCATCTCCTTTCATTGCCCAGGAGGCTTGGAAGCCTCAGATGTCCAGAGAGAAGGCTGCTCAAGAGTATGGGCTTCCTCTCCCCATCCAAAACCTTTGCTCCTGCATCCCCCAGCCTCTCCCTTGCCTCTGCCCACTGCCTGAGGACTTTGGGGATGGGATTCGGGCTCTCTCAGAAGGAGAGCCCTCTGAGCCAGGAGAGACAGCAGACTTGCTGCCTGGCTTTGGGGAGCCAAGCCCTGGGCTTAGGTCCCAGTAATTCCAGGATGCCTACTGCTGTTTGGTTAGTTCAGCTTGCTGGGGAGTCAGCTCCTAAACTGTACTTTCTCTTAGGGAGAGGATGTGCATGTGTGTGTGTGTGTGTGTGTCTAACCTGGGCCCATCTAAAGGTCCCATTTCCCACTAGGTGTGTGCTTTTCTTTCTCTTAATTAGGCCTAACTGTTTCACATCTTTCTCTAGAGTGGATGGTGTGTTTGAACCACTGACCTTTTGATGGTTTATTGGGTCATGAATGAATGAGATTTTGCCTGTACAGTATCAAAGCCATTTGAATCCTAGTATTCAATTAACCAATATTTATTGAGTGCCTCCCATGTACAAAGTCTTAGAACTACAGATATGAACAATACAGGGTCCCTACCCTCCTCAAAAGCACTTAAAGACCTTTGTGATTATTAACTAAAATGCAAAGCAGAAGGCAATCAGTCTGTAATAAAGATTAGAATAATGCTCTCAGAGCAAAGAGGAAGGAAAAATTCATTCTGATTGGTGGTTAAGTGGGAAAGACTTGACAGAAGAAGGGGCGCTGAGGTTGGCTTTGATTAAATGGGGAAATGGGTGGAGACACTTTTTCAGGCTTAAGTATCAGCTTGAGCAAAGCCATGAGTTGTATGTAGTAAGTACTGGATGAACGGAGAGTTTTCAAGTTTCTCAGTGGTGACGGAACATAGTAAGTATGGAGATGGAGAAATGAGGCAGGAGAGGACAGACAGCAGAACATAGTAAGTATGGAGATGGAGAAATGAGGCAGGAGAGGACAGACAGCAGAACTTAGGCTTAGGGAACTCCTCCCTTAAACGACTCTAGTGCTGGTGAGGACCTGAGATACAGTTAAGTTCAATCCCCTCATTTTACAGAAAAGAGGCTGGACAAGAAGCAGTGGGAAGGATTGAGTTTATTGACAAATCCAAACTTCGGACCCCCATCCTACGCTTCCTTCGGTGTTCTTTCTACTCCGTTAGCGTGACTCAAGGACACTATCCTCTCTCCATTAGAGGGTTGCCCACCCTCTCCCCCAGTGTTCCAGGCCCAGGTGGCCTGCCAGCTCTGTTGTTGTTGTTGTTGTTGTTATTTGCCATCGAGTCGGCCCCGACTCATAGCGACCTCTCCTTGGGTTTCCGAGGCAGTATCACTACGGAAGTAGGAATGCCCAACCTTCCTTCCGAGGAAGGTTTGAACCGCCAGCCTTCTGGTTAGCAGTCAAGTGCCAGCTCTGAGCTTCCCTTTAATCAGCTCAGCGGGCCCAGAAGCCCCGCCCACGTGAGGCCTGGGCTCCGCCCGGATGTCCCAAGGCCCTGCCTCCTCATGTTGGGGGGTAGTCTGCTTCTACTCTAGGCCTTTCGGTTTGCACTGGCGGCTGCTGCGGGGAGGGTGGGAGTTCTCGCGGCCGCTGACGGTAGGTGGGATCGGCCTCAAGTTAGGGCCGGGGCCTAGGTCTGGGTTGGGTGGCAAGGGACACCTCAAGTCCCGTGTGTGGGCTGGGCGGGCACAGCCACTGTCTCCCAGAATGGACCGCGAGCGGCCAGAATTCTAAGAGAGGCCCGCAGGAGTGGGCGGTGCCGCGCGTGCTGCGCGTGCGCAATAAGCCTCCCGGCTGCCGGGCGGGGTTTGCGAGGCTTGAGTGTGTCTGTTTCTTGGCGGGCTGCGTGGTGTGACGGGGCTGTCGATTGTCTTTGTTACTCCTTGAAGGTCCCAAGCTGGACTTCAGTGCAGCTGGTGTTATAGAAATGGGAAGGCGGTTGGCCATGCGCCTCCTAGCGAAGGCAGATGGAAACGACGCCAGGCAGGGCTCCTTGGATGCAGCTGTGGTGATTGTACCGAGGGTTTGTCATAGCCTAGAGGGACAGGCGTAGCCCAGGTGGTCGGTCACCGGAGCCTTGCTGCCCTCTTCAGGGTGTCAGAGGAACTGCTCCTGTGAAAGGGGCCCACGGCTGAGGGCTGGCGACCCCCACCCCCACTGTTACCCCTTAGCGACCCCCCTCCACACAGTCATATTAAAAGGGTGAATCTGATTAAGGTGAATGCTAAAGGCGGCTTTGAAGGGGGAGGGAGAGATGACATTTAGGAGCCATATACTTAGAACAGGACCTGCAAGGTGGAGCAGCTAACTCCTAATTAGCCAACTCCTTTATGGGAACAGTTGGTCCTGTTGTTAGGTGCCGTCCGGTGGGTTCGGACTCACAGAGAACCTGTGTACCACAGAATGAAACACTGCCTGGTCCTGCGCCATCCTCACAATTGTTACTATGTCTCAGCCCATTGTTGTAACCACTGTCAGTCCATCTCGTTGAGGGTCTTCCTCTTTTTCGCTGTCCCTCTACAGTTGGCCCTGGCCTTCTTGTAAACACCCCACCTCTCTCCCAAAAAAGTCCGAGGATTCTGAGCTTCCCTGCTTTCCGAAGTATTTTTCACGTGTAACGTACTCCAGTGGCGGAGTGCCTAAGGCGTTTGACTGCTAAGCAGAAGGTTGGCGGTTCAAACCCACCAGCCACTCCTTGGAATGAACATTGTGCAATCTACTTCCGTAGTGATACTGCCTCGGAAACCCAAGGAGGGGTTCCTGTGAGTCTGAAATGACTGGAGGGCAGTGAGTTTTTTTTTTTAACGTACCCAGGTGCATAGCACTCATAGGAGACTAACGCTGGGGGGGGGGGGGAAGGATGGGGATTTTAAAAAACCTTATAATGTGTGCATTATTTGCTTAAAAATACAGTTGTTATGTTGGTCTAGTCGGCTCCAACTTACAGTGACCCTATGCACAACAGAGTGAAGCATTGGCCATTTGCGGAGCTCTGGTAGCATAGTGGCTAA